AAAAAAAAACAAGGCCCACCCATCGCCAGCAGCAGGATGAGCCACTCCTTCGAGAAGATGACGAGGGAGTTCGCAGTTCGGATGCGCTCAAAGGTGCACCAGCAGAGCTACAGCAACGCCGTGATGCGGCGGCAGGCGCGACGCCTCTCGCCAGCAGGGCAACTCGCCGTTGACCGGGTGGCGGAGTTGGCTGCGCTGCAGCAACGCCACGAGCGCACCTTCGACCCCGCGCTGCGCACTGAGGCGACAAGCATTCTCCGTACGCTCCCGCTGCTTTCGTCGGACGAGGACCCGCGGTTTGTGCACACGCAACGTGCGCTCCGCGCCGCGGCCTACTTTGACGCCGTTGACCTCCCCACCACCTACGCTCTCATCAATCAGCACACCAAGAACGCCTTCCTGCTGGACGCTGTCGCTATGTCTTCCTTCTTCTTTATCCTGGGGAAACTGCAGCACCCGCAAACGGCAGAAATCATCGCCGTTCTGCTGCCGCGCCTGCGAGAGCTGGCGCCCGACCTAATTCCACGCGAGGCGGTGCACATTCTTCGGGTGCTTCACCGCTACGGTGTAGAGGACGCTAAACTCGTAAAGACCCTCACAGACACCGTCGTGAACACCGCTGCCGAGGCGCCGCTCAAAGATGTAAGACAATGCGCCGTGGTGCTGGCAGAGACGAATCCAGAGGAGGCCAGGCGTGTGCTTGTTGGAGCCACAACGCGGCTCTGCGAGGAAATAGAATTATGCACCGACACAAACGAAGTGAAAGCGACGATGATGGATATATGCCGTGCAGTGGCGCTTACCTGCAGCGGGCCGCGTGAACTGCTCAACAGCGTGGCTCGTCGCTCGCTGGACCTGCTGCCGCAGCTCACGCCGCTCGATATAGCGTACGTGCTGAAGGCGTTCCATCTGAGTTCGTACCGACACCTGCGCGTGCTGCGTGTGCTGGCGTCTTCGCTGGCCGCACGCGCGGGGGAAAACAAAGCGGCGGCGGAAGTCGTCACCGCCGCCGCGGTAGCCATGGTGGTGCCGGCGCTTGCGCACTTCTACGTCACAGACTGCGAGGAGGTCGTGCTGACGCTCGTGAGCGCCGTGGCGGAGACTCTGGAGGGACTCAACCTCGCCCTCACACTCCTCGCAACTGTGCGGCTGCAATGCGTCTCGCCGGCACACGCGCAGGCCACGGATGTGCTCTGCGGCGTCCCACTACGGCGTTACGCCCAGAAGCCGCACAGTCTGCGGGTGACAAGTCGTATCTTGTACGCACTCTCACAAGCAGGACGGTGTAGCTCCACGAAGGATGTTGTTAACCTGCAGTCCATGCTGAATGCGGTGCTGCGTGCCCGCGGCCCTATTCCAAATGACTGTCGTAGTTTTCTACTCGACGCGGTAACAACGTTGGACGCTGACAGTCGTTGTAGCGATGATGCAGTGAAGGGACTTCTTCGCGGAGTGCGTGAGCGGCTGTCTTGCAATAGCAGCAGCAGCCGCGGCGGTAGTAAAGGTGTTAGCGGTAGTCCCGTGTTCTCGTAGGTTAAGAAAAGAAGCTTCTGGACGGTTGTGTTGCTATTGTTGTTGTTGTGGTGGTTGAAGAGAGTTATTTGTTGCCGCCAAAGTGTGATGCACGCGTTGTACCTGACCGCGCAGATACCGATCGAAGGTAACAATGTGGGGATGCCCTTTGCTTTTCCTGTTTGTTGCTACATCTTGCAGGTATCTATAACTATAATCATGTTCACCGACAGCATGTTGATGAGCCCCGACTTTGACGAGGAGGCGTACCTGCGCTACGCTCTGCACGCCTCCAACTGCCAGGCGGAGCAGGCGCGGCTCGCGTCGTGCGCCAAGGCAGTGCGGGAGGATGTGCACAAGATCCTCTCAGAGAACGCGGAAGACATGGTTCAACAAGTCACAGCTGCCTGCCGAGCCCAACGTGACGTCGCGGCCGTGCGACAGGCCACATCGTTTCTTGTGCAATCTACTAGCAGACTTCGGCACACCATACAAGAGCCGCATCGTGTGATCAACGCAAGCATCACCAAACTGGAGAACACAAACGCCGCTCTGAATTTCCTACGGAACATCCTCAAATTCATTGGTCTCACGACACGGTTGAAGAGTCAGCTCCCACACGACCTTGCGCGCGCCGCCCGGACACTTCGGGAGGTGGAGGAGTTGATGCAGTCCAGCAGCATCACCGGCATCGAGGTGGTGGATGCCCGTATCGAGGCGGTGGAGCGGGCAGCGGTGACAATTCGCACCAGGGCGCAGGAGATGCTGCGACGGGGGGATGCACAGGACGCGTCTAGTGTTGCGGTGCCGCTGCAGTGCTTCTTCACACTCGGGAACCTCCCACGTGTGCTCAGTAGCCTCATGACGGAACAGAAGCGGGAGGTAATCAAGTCGCTGATGAGGGACTTGGATCTGCAGACAATGACAGACGAAATTAATCATGGAGACAACAGCAGTGCCAATGATATAAGCGCGCGGACACGTGACGTTTTCTTCTCGCGCCTCCAGTCGGCCCTGACAAACACGACACAGCACACGCAAGTGGTCGTGGCCGTGTGGCGTGTGCTGGTGAAGAAGTTGGATCCTGTCACCCACACGCCGTATCTTAGCGTTGTGGAGAACCCAACGTCAGCGCTGGGCGACTACTGGCACTTAGTCACGGAGAAACTCCGCGAGCGTCTGCAGGCTGCACAGAAAAGACCCAATTTCCTCGCCGTGATGGCAGCTGATGTCCTGCAATACCGTAATCTTCTGCATACATTCCTGGGCAATATGAGAGGCCTCTTGGATGTACTGGATCGGCTGATGGAGATGGACGCGGCCGCGATGAAACGAGCGGGCAGGCCATCATCACCAGTTAATGCCTCCCCCGGTGGCGTGGAGCAGGTGAAACGGACCTGGCTTTCTCAGGTGACACAGGAGGTCAATGAGCGCTTTGCCGCACACATCACGGATCGCCATCGGGAGAGGCTGCACCACATACTTTCAAAGCTACCATCTATCATTCCGACTGCAAGCAGTCGACCTGTTGTGAATGCTGTTGTGGATCTCGACCGACCACAGGTTCCTGCTGCGGCGTACGTGTTGGATACACGCGGGTACACGGCAATGGCAACACAGGATGTGACGAGTTACCGTCAAGACCCGCATACACTTTCTATTGTACTTGAGTGCATTCTGCAGTGCCTCGCAGCGTTCATGCAGCCCGTGACCGAGGCGATGAGCAAGTGGCCCCTTCCCCCACTTCCCTCGGTTTCGGGTGACCCCACGGGGCCACAGATGCTGCACATTTGTGTAAGTAATGCATGCACACTTCTTAGCAACGACTTAGTGTCCATGCTGGCATCCCTGCCGGAGGAGGAGCTCTTCGCGGAAGACCGTGTGACGGGGCGATGGTTGTCTGGTGGTATGAGGAGAACCGATCAAGAGAAGGGGAGTCGCGACGAGACTGCATCCAACGCACGAGAAAATGTGATGGAGAAGCACCGCCAACTCAGTGAGCTTGCCGATAAGTTAAAATCGATCAGTAAGAATACTCTGGATCCCTTCTTTAGTTCAGCGTCGGTTTTGCTTCTTGGCTGTGTTTCCATGTGCGTAGATGGATCGCTGGGACAGGAGGCCGCAGGGGTCAGGCAGCTGCAGAGCCAAATCCGGCACTTCATGTCTCACTTTTATTATCTTTTTGAGCCACAGACTCCCACTCTGGATGAAAACGTGCGGAGGATCACTGATAGCCTTCTTGCAAGGCTCATTGTGACGGTAACGCTGGTGTGCCCCTACACTACCGGTAAAAAGCAACATGTGGTTGGTTGCCTCCAGCAGGTTTCTCGTGTGGTGTTGTCCTTCGGTCCGACGAATACACATGGAACAATGGGCCGAAGCACAATGTCACTCAAGGGTCAGCTGCACCAGCTGACTGTCTGGTATGAGCTGTCAGAGGACGTCTCGGAAAAGTCAAGGGAGGAGTGGCATACTTTTCTTGCAATGCTTCCTCCTGTGGTGGCCCGATTGCTGCTGCTGCAACGCGTCCCACAAAATCCAGCCAAAGGCAATAAACCTCACGTCGCAATGGGGGTGACATCCGAGAGTTTCGTGGAGATAGTTGAGGCCGCTTTGCTGGAGCAGGCTCGTGTTGGCCAAGCACTACAGAACGGCGTAGGCGGCACGAATAGCGGCGCTGAAGCGACGACGCGATTGGGCGACGCGATGACTGCTCTGGAGACGTGCTTCCACGAGGCCGCCACCGCCGCACGTGCAGACCCCGCGGGAGAGCCGATGGTGCGCTGGGCAGAGGAGCAGTGGGGCCTGATGCAAGGCTAGCGATTGCGTGAGTGGGCGGTGGCGCAAACAGTTGCTTGTGCTGATGCCTCCTCCATGGTTTGCCAGACGTGAGTGTCCGTGTGTGTGTGTGTGTGTGTCTGTGTTTGTTTCTGCTCAATTATTGTTGCACTTGCTTTGCGCATTCTCCCTCCTGTACTTTCTCTGCTGCTGGGTTAGATCACGAAGTTCACACCTCTACACATCTGTGTAGGTACGCGAACGCAAAGTCAAAAAACAAGGAAAGCAAAAGAAGAATAAACTAGACCCAAAGAACAAAAAAACAAACAAACAAACAAAGATCGGGAATCGATATGCTATGCCGAAGGGACAGAGGGTAGATGCTTACGAGACGCGACAAGGCAGCTACTGCAGCCTCCCCGTCATGGTTTTTGCACTGCTGGTTGTGTTCACCGACACCAGAGCCGGCGCGCATGACGCAACCACCCCGATCGCCGCGATCGACCCCGCACACGCGGCGGAGATTGGGGAGAAAAACCTGGCGAAGCTCGTGTCCGTTTTTCTCCTGCTGCGCTACGAGGAGAATCTGTCGGCGAAGGTTCACTCCAGACTGATTGAGGAGCTGGCGATTTCCTTCGCCTCCGTGGAGCTTTTTATGCAGGACGTCTGCGCCACCGGCAATGATTACAAACCAGCGGCGCCCACGGAGGGAGTCTCCAGTAGCGATGGTGACTCCGCGCGCGCAAGCGATCCCATTGCTATGGAGTTGTCTTGTGTGTGCCGCACGATGGAACGGCGGCTTCAACGATGGAGTGTAGGCATCTTGGAGATGCTGGAACGATGAATAAAAGCAAACATACAAAACGAGTTCAAGCTGTGACAGCTGATGATAATGGAGCAGGTTGTGCATCTGCGAGATTTTTAGTTTTTTTTTTTCTATTGTATATCTGCCTCCCCCCGCATAAACACACACACACACACACACACACACACGTGGCACCTTATTTTTGCCCTTGTGCCCATGGGAAGACGATGATGGTGCTGGGAGGCGTGGCAGATGAAGTGCTGAGTGCACTAGAACATGTAGTGCCTTACAGGCTGTTGCGCTCAGTAAAAAAAAAAAGAAAAACAAACGCTATTCACATTTATTTTTCTTGCACCTTTCGGCTATGGTGGCATGCTGAGGCGTCCACAGACACCAGGATCCGCCAACTGCATCCGCGTACAAAGAGATTTGTTTGTTGTTTATATACTTTTATTGCAGGTTTTTTCTCCCCG